ACTTCATAATGTCATACACGTCATACATGTCATACACGTAAGCTATTAATATTATTCAAATACACAGTTTAAATACTGATTATTTTTTATCGGTCTACAAAACATCTGAATTTCATTAAATAATGTTTTTTAAAAATTCGTCTTTTTCTTTTCTTACGAAGAAGGTTCTTTAACTAAAACGCTAATGATACATCCCGTTTGACCACTTAAGCATGGCCTGGACAATGTAAAATCGCTGTATATGCAATAAGGCATGTATATTAAATTGTTTTACAATTATACACGATAAAACAAAAATTATTTTTCTTCATATTTATTGTGAATATGCTTGAGTCTTTACCATAAAGACTACATGTTTGATAATAAAGGATAGTGTTGTGGATGAAGATATACACAAAAAACGGGAAATTATTGATTCAACTTTGGAAGATTACTTCGGATATCTCGAACCCCCGGATATCTCGAAGTTGTGTCCAGGTCCCCTCAACTTCGAGATACTGATATTTCACTGTACTTGTGTATACGAGGGGCGTTCAAAACATAATGTCATTGGGGCTAGGAAAGAAACAAAAAAAAAAACCTGCCTTTCTATGATTTAGTCTGAATGCTTTAACAAAACTATTCTCTTTTAATTAAAACACATGTCTGTAACATTTTTTTTCAATTTCTAATTGTTTTAGAATATATTTTTAAGTATGACCCGTCGTATACTGGAATTTGGCAGATCCTATGATTTGCTGTACTTGTTTTTTTTTTCTTTCTGATAGATGTTTATCTAAGTTTGGGAAATGAAACAAGTCAAAGGTTGAAAGATCTGGCAAATTTTGTTGGTGTGACAAAACATTAACTTTCTGTTTATCCCCAAAACTCCTTTACTCTTCATGGCCTGTGGGTTTGGACGCTGTCATGAAGAAATTTAATGTAGTGAATTCCTCATTCTGTTTCCTTCCTCTCATAAACCTTTCATTTTTTGCACAAAAATTGTTTTCTAGACTCCTCCAGAAATTGAACCTCCTCCCCGAATATGAATTTGAACAATAAGGACCACTAATATTAGAGAAAATAGCATATTAAACTGTTTTTGTGCACTTGCAATAATTCTTTGCTCTTTTTATACCTTTGCAGTTTTGTCAAGTTCATCTTATTGTAAATTTGTTTTGAGGGTTTAAAGCAAAATGGATTCAAGTTTCATCATCTGTTTGAATTTCAGACAAACGTTGATAAGTACAATTTTTGATTTTTAAAAAAATAATTGTTTAGATATTCCTACACGCTGTCTTTTTCACTCATTTTTCAAAATGTAGGGTGGCCTTTGAGTATTAAACATTTTTACTATCAAATGTTTCTTTAAAACAGTGTGAATACCCCAAAAATGACCTTTGAAATCACCTTTCTATTCAAACAGACATTGGTTGCTGTAAATTTATTATATTTCAGTTAATATATTTTTGGGATATTAACAAGTTTTACAGATGCTTTAATGAAGTGTTTCATTTTACTTTAGTTTACTGATTCTTAACAATTCATTTTAATGCAGTGTATCGAATAGCCCTTGTTTTCCAGATACCCACAATGAAATAATGCGATGAAAAATGGTCACATAAACTGTTATTAATTCATTTAAGATTCAATAATGAGAGCCAAGCTTAATTTCATATGATTTCTATGTTTCATGTCATCGAGCTAATGACATTATTTATTGAACGTGCCTCGCATTATTAAAAATTAATAATAACATTCACGATGGGTTTAATTTGGCGGAAAATTAATAGCGAAATTAAAACCATCGTGAATTTTGCCAATCTACAGTATAAAACATATACATGTACAATTTGCACTTTTGTGTAACTATTGATATCCTAAAGCAATTTAACTTTTGGGGCACTTTAACCCCCGGCCCAAAATATCTAATAATAAAAAATAGGCTATTTTGACCTAGTACCTTATGAAAAAAAATAAATGTATTGACAAACTTGTACAAAATGTAGATAATATGTACATTTTGCTTTGCTAAGCAAAGAATGCCTGCTTGTCTTCTTTGGTACAATGGATTTTTCATGGCCAGTCCAAGCTAGACCAGCTCAATTAATGTTTTATAAAAGAAGAAAGGAACAGGTAAAATGGAACAATTCTCCAAACAATGCACTGTTTAATTGCTACATACTAGTAACCAAGACGCATACTGTGTTTTAGTGACACTCTAGCTATTCAAAAGTTGGCAATTATCAGTTTACAGTGAATATTAATTTAATAAATAACACATAATTCTTTGAAATCAAATCGTATGTAAAATAAGTTTGAAAACTTAAATGTAAGTGTACGTTCAACAGAATAAAAAGTGTATTTAAAAAGATACAGAAATTTAATTTAAAAAGATTAACGTTTTCTATCATAATTATCATTTGCAAAAAAAATTATAATAAATTAATAAAATTAATAAAATCTAGAGGCCCATGGGCTTATAGGTCACCTGAGTATCATATAACAATTTTCCAGTAACTGAATTTGGTTCGTGTTTTAAGCCAGAGGCCACTAAATTCACGAATTTGAAAGAGGCACCATTGCTTATCATAACTATACACTTAGCATGCTTTGGTTGCTTAACTTACAGAGGTAGATCAGAGTAACAAAGAGGAAATGTATTTCCACTTTTTAACCAGTTGTGCACCCAACCCCACAGGAACCACTGACCTAGGGGCCACATATTTCAAAATTTTGGAAATTTTATCATAAATTTTATTTTCATCAGAAATGATTGATTAATACCAAAGAGCAGATTTAAATTCATTATTAAAGCATTATTTTTTAAGACTATATACCCCCTCCCCGTACCTTTGACCCAGAGGCCCTGAAATAAACAATTTTGGAAGAGGCACCTTTCTTCTTCATAAATAAGTATTTAGATCTTTGGGATAATATCTGGGAGCAAAGGGAAAGATTTTCAAATAAATTTATGCAATTCTATACATATTCATTTTAGCCCCATCCTAAAACCAGAACACCTGACCCAGTGGCTCTGAAATTCATAAATCAGGAAGAGGCAGCTTTCCTCATCATAATTATAAGCATACTCCATTGGTTTATAACCCATGAGCAGATTTTTAAAGAATTTATGCATTTTCACTATATAATCAATAGACCCTCGCCCTAGTACTAGAACCCATCACCCTTGGGCCATGAATTTCGCAATTTTGGTAGACGACTCAATTGCTGATCACAATCATGCTAACAGTTTGACTGCTTGATGTCCAGGAGCAAAGAAGATTTTTAAAGATTGCATTAATTTTAGTGGTTTTGGACCCACCTCTCAGGTCCCGGGGGGAGGGACCATGACATTGAAAATTTTCGTTCGCCTTTATTCATAAATTGCTTTGCGCCAAATTTTGTTGAGCGGTTGCAGAGAAGATGCTGAAAATGTTCAAATGTTAACGCACGATGCACGACGACGGACAAAAACGGACAGCAATAGGCACCCGAGTTTTACCTTAACAATAATTATCATGTAAGGTATACATACAAAATAATGCTTTGTAATGATAATTAATGCCAGCATTACACTGGATTTTATGGAGTTATGCATTACATTACCATTATATGTAAATTACATAATTTCTCATGTATATGTATGTTTTATTGTTCTACTTCAATAACAATAACAGTTATTTATTGCCAGGGTTTAACATTTCTGAAATTAAAATCAATAGACAATGTTAATTTTGAGAACAAAACCCTTAAGATTTAAATCTTGAAAATTACATATTTTATGCTTCAATGAAATCATTTCGGAACGTATCGCGTGGGAAAAGTAAAAACCTATTGCCTTGGTAAATGCCTAGTGAGTAGTTATTCTCTCTCTCTCTCTCTCTCTAGTTACCTTTTCTTTATCACAAACGGCTAACCATAAATGTTTATAAAAGAAAAAAAAAGTATACGACCTTCAACTATTGATTCCGAATAGATATAGGACGTTTCTTCTATGTCCTAGATGATGGAATCGGAAATAATAGATCAAGAATTGAGTGACATGACAATCGATCAGTTCCCTGAAGATCCCGGGATAACGGATATTGCTCTTATTGTAGAGGGAAAAAAGATGTACACTGCTAAATCAATTCTTTCCATTGCATCCCCTGTCTTCAGAGCAATGTTTTCGTCGGATTTTAAAGAAAGAAATGCAAACGAAATTGAACTACCTGGAAAAATCTATGGAGACTTTGAAAAATTTCTTATGTGCTTGTCTCCAGATAAATACTTGGATTTGGATGGTATGTATTCAATGTTTGGTTAAAAAAAAAGAAATAACAGGAAGCATTCATTAGAAGAATCATATGTGATAGAGAAAGTAGAAAATATTTTGAATTGACCAATCATCAAATAAAAAGCTCTTTTGAATATCTTTGTTGACAATAAATAAAATAAGTCTATTTATGCACAGCAAAGGAATACAAAGTAAACATTAATTATTGTGTTTCAGAGCAATTTTTTTATGGAAGACCAAAATGGAAATAATTTCAACTTAAAAACTGATAAAGTTACCATGTTGCATTCCTTTTTCTACTCTGGGGCTCAAAAAGGGAGGTACTTCTATGACGTTTTTTCCCACAAAAATACCCCTGATTCCTTGATTTCCGTTTATTGAAAAAAGATTAGGAAATTAAGCATACAAAAAATTCCCTTAAATTCATAATTTTTAATTAGTATTTTGATGAACGTTGCTCTTTTATTTCTGCCATAAAATTGGTTTTAAAGCGGAGGTTTTTTTTTTAGAAGAAAATAATCATTTTTTTCCTTTTGAACTATATTCAGTACTGTTAATTTTAGATTCCTATTTTCCCATGCTGGTCGCACACAAAACTGTTTTTTGCAATGAAATGTGTTATGTTGGTTCTAAAATATCTATTAAATTATTATACCCCCGCTCCGAAGGAGAGGGGCTATACTATTTTACCCTTGTGTATCTGTCTGTCTGTCTAGCTGTCTGTCTGTCCGTAAAAAAAAATCATCGCAGTTTTCTCAGCAACTACTCATCGCAGGTGCTTGAAATTTTAACACAATTTTCTCTGAGGTATGCCATACGCTGGGATACATTTTTGGTCAAATCCGATGTCAACTTTCTGTTTGTCTGTGCGTCTGTCCGTTTCATACATAACAAATTTTCGTCGACGTTTTCTCAGCAACTACTCATTGCAGATGCTTGAAATCATAACACAATCTTCTCTGAGGTATGCCATACGGTGTAGATTAATTTTGTTGAGAATCTGATATCAATTTCATATTTTTCTGTGCATCTGTCCATAATTGAACTTGTGTATATTAACATGATAGTGTTTATTCATACTAGAGCGGGGGTGTTCCTAGTGAGCATTGGCTCAAAGATTTCTTGTTTCTAATGAACTCTTTCAGTGAAATGTGTCAAATAATATAAATATATAGAGCCAATTAGAGAAAAGTAATAAAACTAATTTTAACATTAGATTGACATTTTTTAGTAATGTCTAAAAATTAACATCATATACCCACACTTTTGGTGTTATTTTCTTAATATTTTAAATTTTTTCGACCGAAGAAATATAGTGAAAAAGTGTATAGTGAAATAATGTATAGTGAAATTGCATTAATTTCTTGAAAATTTTATTCTTTGCTCCAGGACATAGGCCTTTGGATCGCTTAAAAAAATGTGTGTGTAAAAAAAATAAAGGTATTGAACTCTTTCACTGGGTACCTAATTTCGCTAATAAAATATGTTTTATTCTAATGCTTTAAAATTCTACTTTCTATTGAAATCTATTTATAGATAAACATTCTTCAATTCTACCAATGCTCATTCCGAAATTCAACATATTTCTTGAGATATTCTAAAATCAATTTCAAAAATGACCTACTTTCTTTTACTCGACATTAGCTTGGGCCCTTGGTCATTCACATGTAAACAGACGGTGTTTGAAGTGCGGCGAAGAGTTGCATAGTATTTGCAAAATCTTTCAACAATTTAAAGTTGATTTCTTATCCCAAATTGTAACGTTAAGTCTGTAATAATATTCCTTTCGCGAAAAAATTAATTTAAAAACGTCTACATCAACAACTACCGCCATGTTGATTATGAATGTAAATGAAGCCATGGTAGAACGAATTTCTCCCGGAATGCATTATAAACCTTTCGATTTTTAAAACAATTAGACCGCTAAAATGTTGTTTGTAACTTAGTTACACCATATGATCAAATTAAAGTAAAACCTTGTAAAGGTTGAATGCAAATGAGCAAATATTCATAGAGTTTAGAATTTATTCCGGGGAAAATTTGTCCCGTCGTTCCCGCTTTACAATTAGTGAAGGCCCAAGCTGATGTCGAGTGAAAAATTAATGTCAATTTGGGAATTGATTTCAGAATATCTCTAGAATTATAAGGAACTAGTGCTAATTGTAACGGGAACCGTTACAGATGTTCCCCAAACGCTCCCCAACTCCCTTTTGGTGCCATATTCCCTGTAAGCTTCATTAAATAAGACAAACTCTGTGCATATATGACTTTAACAACGTTTTCCCAGAAGGATATCAATTATATTCAAATTTTACCATTGCACCTGTGCACATGTGAATACATGTGCGATATGACCATATCATCTTGTCTACACTATCTATATATTTTAATATACTATATATTAAAGCATTCAGTCCAAAAGTATTAAAAATCACTCATTCAAGTGTTTTTTTTAATTTCACTCGTTCGAAATGCATGCACGTGCGTGCACGAGCATGATCACCATACTTTCTTGTAGGAGTCCCTTATATCTATCAGTATTCTAAATCCCATCCTGTTTGGTTGAAAAACAAGGGAGTTATAGCCATTTCAAGTTTCAGCCAATCAGATTGCAGCACACGTGCATGCGCGTAATTTCATGAATTTTTTTCTATATCATCTTGTAGGGTATCCTAATGCATGACTATGTTTTAAATTTTAAAGCATTTCGTCAAAATACAAAGGGGATATAGCCATTTAAAGTTTCAGCCAATCAGATTGCAGCACACGCGCATGCGCAAGCTTTCATGAATATTTTCATATATCATGCTGTAGATCTTCATAATGTAGGACTATGTTCTAAATTTCAAAGGATTATGACAAGAAACAAGAAAGATATTGAGACTTTAGTTTCAGCCAATCAGAGCAAAGCGCACGTGCATACGCGTGAGTTCTTGCTATTTTGACCATGCCAGCTTGTGCATACAACTAATGTATCCTTACATTATGAGTTTCAAAAAATTTCATCAAAAAATAGAAAAGTTACGGCAATATCCATTATATTGGTCATTTCACGTGTTGCACGTGCGCGCTCTTGCAAGCACGTGCGCGCAAAATGACCTTGATTCCGCAAATCTACATAACATGTCTACTGACCCTAAAAAGGTTTTACCTACATCGGACGAACAGATTACAAGATCATTCCCGGACAAAAAAGTACCCAGGAAGAAGAAAAATAATAATAACTAGTGCTAATTGTAACGGGGACCGTTACAGATGTTCCCCAAACGCTCCCCAAATCCCTTTTAGTGCCATATTCCCTGTACGCTTCATTAAATAGGACAAAGTCTATGCATTTGAGACTTTAACAACGCCAAATTCATTCAGATTTTAGCATTGCACGCGTGCGCATGTGAATGCATGTGCGTAATGAGCATATCTTCTTGTCTACAAAATCTATATATTTAAATATAGTAAATATTAAAGTATTTAATCCAAAAGTATTTTTAAAAAAACGCTTATTCAACTGTATTTTTGATTTTACCCATTTCACGTGCACGCTCGTGCATACATGAGCATGGTGACCATACCTTTTTTTAGAAGTCCATTACATCTATCTATGTTCTAAATCCCACCCTGTTTGGTTGAAAACCAAGGGAGTTATAGCTGTTTAAAGTTTCAGCCAATCAGATTGCAGCATTTGTACATGCACGTGTATGCATGTGCATGGTGACCATACCTTCTTGTAGAAGTCTATTATATGTATCTATGTTCCAAATCCCATCCTGTTTGGTTGAAAACCAAGGGAGTTATAGCTATTTAAAATTTCAGCCAATCAGATTGCAGCGTACGTGCATGCACGTGTTTTCATGAAAACTACTATATAACATGTTATAGGATATCCTACTGCATTGCTATGTTCAAAATTTCAAAGGATTTCATAAAAAAACAAGAAAGATATTGAGACTTTAGTTTCAGCCAATCAGAGCGTAGCGCACGTGCATGCGCGTGAGATCTTGCCATATTGACCACGTCGTCTTGTTTATACTTCTAATATATCCTCACATTATGAGTTTCAAAACATTTCATCAAAAAATAGAAAAGTTACGGCAATATACATTATATTGGTCATTTCACGTGATGCACGTGCGCGCTCTTGCAAGCACGTGCGCGCAAAATGACCTTCATTCCGCACATCTACATAACATGCCTACTTACCCTAAAAAGGTTTCCCCTTAATCGGATGTGTACTTTACAAGATCATTCGCGGACAAAATTTTCCCGAGAAGAAAAATAATAATAATAACTAGATGCGATCTCGTTGCGAGCAACGAGTAGGTCTTCCGTCCGAATTTTCGATAAGATGAGATATGACTTTGACTATGATCTTTGATAAAACATCATGGAATCATGCCTTTTCTATTTTGATTAAATCTTTTTGATTTAGATAATATCATCAATGGGTACTTAATTTGCACATTAATTCTTTTCTACTTTGAGAAACAACCAAAACCAATTAAAGAAAACTTGTAAGGAGACCTTGGATTATGAATGTAGTTTGACACAGAATTGTAACGAACCTACGACGTGACAATCCAAGTATCCCTACACATTTCATTGCTCCTTATGTTACTTTCATTCAAGCAAACGCTCGGCTGCCTCTGTTAATCGCTTTTGCGAAATGTCGGAATTGACAGAGACCGCCGCCATTTAGTTCCCGCTTCAGATTTTTGAATGTTAATATCTCGAGTTTAAATTTATAAATTTACAAACGAATTATATATTCAGCCTAATAAGAAATGTTTCTATCAACTATACTAATATCATTTGAAAATATTGAAAAACAAAAAAGTTAAAGACGAGAGACTTTTGGCCCCTCTATGCCCCTAATTTGAAGGAGTAACCCCGTTTAGTTGATATCAAATGAAAGGTCTTACTATATTGCACATTTTTTATTATATATGTCTTAACAAAATATTAACAGGTAAAAAGATATAAAAGAAAACGTGTCAATTTTTGCGAGATGAGAATGAGGCTATTTTTCGATCCCAGGCGAGCGTCGATGCCTTCTTACCTGGAAAGCTCTATATGCAAAATGTCACATCTACTATCCTTCCTCTACCTTCACTGAAAATCTCAAGTCGATATCTTAAGTCGTTTAGGAGGAGATCTCAGGACAAGCTGACCCTCTAAAAATCAGTAAATCGTCCATATCTCACGACCGGAAGTGACGACGTACTTACGAAAAATTTCCGACAAGGTTCAGATAAATATCTATCAGGTCTGAAAATTTGGTGAGAATCGGTCAAGCCGTTTCTGAGAAATCGCGTGCACAAAATCGGTAAGAAAAAAAAAAAATAATAACTAGTGCTAATTGTAACGGGGACCGTTACAGATGTTCCCCAAACGCTCCCCAACTCCCTTTTGGTGCCATATTCCCTGTAAGCTTCATTAAATAAGACAAACTCGATGCATTTGAGACTTTAACAGCGTTTACCCAGAAGTGTACAAAGTTCATTCAAATTTTAGCATTGTACGCGTGCGCATGTGAATGCATGTGCGTAATGACCATATCATCTTGTCTACACAATCTATATATTTAAATATACTAAATATTAAAGTATTTAATCCAAACGTATTAAAAAGATACGCTCATTCAAGTGTTTTTTTTGATTTTGCTCATTTCACATGCACGCACGTGCATACATGAGCATGGTGACCATATCTTCTTGTAGATGTCCGTTACATCTATCTATGTTCTAAATCTCACCCCGTTTGGTTGAAAACCAAGGGAGTTATAGCTGTTAAAGTTTCAGCCAATCAGATTGCAGCGCACGTACATGCACGTGTATGCATGTGCATGGTGACCATATTTTCTTGTAGTAGTCCAGTATATCTATCTATGTTCCAAATCCCATCCTGTTTGGTTGAAAATCAAGGGAGTTATAGCTATTTAAAGTTTAAGCCAATCAGATTGCAGCGCACGTGCATGCACGTGTTTTCATGATAATTGCTATATATCATGTTGTAGGATATACTAATGCATGGCTATGTTCAAAATTTCAAAGGATTTCGTCAAAAAACAAGAAAGATATTGGGACTTTAGTTTCAGCCAATCAGAACAAAGCGCACGTGCATGCGCGTGAGATCTTGCTATTTTGACCATGTCATATTGTCTATGCTTCTAATATATCCTTATATTATAAGTTTCAAAGCATTTCATCAAAAATTTTAAAAGTTACGCCTATATCAATTAAATCGGTCATTTCACATGTTGCACGTGCACGCTCTTGCAAGCACGTGCGCGCAAAATGACCTTCGTTCCGCAAATCTACATAACATGTCTACTGACCCTAAAAACATTTCACCTTAGTCGGAAGTATAGTTTACGAGATCATTCCCGGACAAAAAAGTACCCAGGAAGAAGAAGAAAAAAAATAATAATAATAATAAGAAACAGAGTAAAAACATTATGTTCCCCAACTTCGTTTGGGGAACATAATAATAATAATAGGGAAAAAGAAACCGAACGAAAACAATAAGGTCTTCCGTTGGAGACGGAAGACCTTAATAAGAAACAGAGTAAAAACAATATGTTCCCCAACTTCGTTTGGGGAACATAATAATAATAATAATAATAATAAGAAACAGAGTAAAAACAATATGTTCCCCAACTTCGTTTGGGGAACATAATTACGGAATGAACTTTGGTAGTAATGAAGATTGTTTATATTTGAATAGATATGGATAGAAAGTAGATTATAGATAGAATTGTAAAGAATTTGATTTAAAAGATTTTTTTGGCGAAAGTAGGTACCCCATGAAAAGAGTTCCATACCTTTATATTTTTTTACACCATTTTTTTCTAAGCGATATAAAGGCCTGTGCTCCAGGGTATTATGCAAAGAAACATAATTAATAGTTTTGATGAGGAAGGGTGACTCATTAGCTGCATTGTTTCTGTGTGTAGGGAAGGCAAAGGACTACTGTCAAACAAACGGATAGAAATACGGCTGCAGATTTGACGAGAAACCATGAAAGACTATTTGGGAACTGTAATAATCTATCAAGTAAGAGCACATCATACCGTACAGCGGGTTATTTTAGCGGGGTGTTTTGATGATAGTCCGCTATAATTTTAATCGCTAAAATAGTCATTACTCTTCTAGGTGTTCATCTACAAAGAGTTGAAACCCTGCGTCCGCTAATTTGAAAATAGATTACGCAAAAATTATTTATATACCTTTCAGCAGGCAAAACGCGAAAATTTGCACCCGCTAAGAAAACCCGTTATACGGTAATTCTAACAATTATCATGTGTGAATTATACATTATCTTAGTGAAATAAAATTAAAAACATTGCTCCAGGGTATTATGCAACGAAACAAACTTAATAATTTTAATGAGGAAGGGTGACTCTTTCAAAATTGTTAATTTCATGGATCCTGGGTCAATGGTTCTGGTGTATAGGCGGGGTTCTATTGATTATAGAGTGAAAATGCATTAATTCTTTAAAAAATCTCCTCCTCTGCTCCTGGGTACTATTCAATCAAAATAAATGCATACAATGTAGTTATAATGAGAAAGGTTGTCTCTTCCAAAATTGTAAATTTTGATGCCCAAGGATCAAGAGTTCTGGTGTTAAAGGGGCTCTAAGGATTATATATGGAAAATGCATTAAGTTTTTGACAAGCTTCTCCTCTGCTCCTAGGTATTATACCGATGAACTCTGTACAGAGTCATAACGAGGAAGGGTGCCTCTTGCAAAGTTTTTTACTTTAAGCCAATGAACTCTGTGCATATTTATGATGAGGAAGGCTGTTTCTTCCAAAATTGTGAATTTTGTGGCCCCTGAGTGAGATGTTCTGACTCTGTTACTTATATATTGAAATTGCATTGATTCTTTGGAAATATTTTTATCTGCTCCTGGGTATTATACAAACAAACTAAATGCATAGTTTTGATGAGGAAGGGTGCCTCTATCAATTTTCCATTTTTTCCATTTTTCCATTTTATACGTCCTAGATTGATTGCTTTGTGTTGATATTGATTAACATAAAAAAATTATCTAGACATCCTGTCCTGACAGCAACATGAATATTCACAAGTTAAACTACAAACATCAAACAGAATTTAAAAACTAAAGAAGACTTACCTGCAAGATGAACTTTGATTAGAATTTCCCGAAGCACAAATTAGGAACGTTTGGTATTACGTGAGATATGCAAGCCTACTCCCAGATCAGTATTTAACTCAATATGTGAATATTCTTGACTAATAAGCTATTTTATAGATGCTAAATTTTGTTTATTACCCTAGTTCCGATGGGAGGGAGATCAAGGGAGGGCAAGTAATACCCAACGTTCCTTGGTGCTTCGGAGAATTCTCATTAAAGTTCACCTTACAGGTAAATCTCCTTTAATTTTCTAATTCTCCTTCATCACCAAGTCAAGTGGGTATCACGTGAGATGTTTAGAGCAAATATTCACATATCGAAAATAGGAATTATACAAAGCAGAAAAAATACCTATAACTGTCAAAGATTTCTTGAAAATTCAAATCATCTAAGCTACATGTTGAAGACTAAATTGCAGACTGAAAATTTTTATCACTATGTAAAAGAGTGTTGTAAAATTTTGCAAATGCATTCTCATTAGATCACCCAACATGTGAATCCAAAACTTTGAGAGATCCCTGCCTTTCCTGTAGTATGCAATTCATTACTTCGATCCCGATCGAGTGAGAACTCGATTACAGTATATAGCGATTGATATCGTGATCGACAGGTCTCCGTCTAAGTAAAGGAGAGGCCTCAAACTGTCCATTGCCGTAGGCCCGAGATTAGTTCTTTCTCTCACAGAATGGACAGTTTGAGGCCTTTCTCCTACTTAAAACATGATTCTCTTTGTTCTAAGAATTTAAAGAAAAATGTGAAAAACAGGTAGCACACATACAATAAATTCATTGTTCTTTTTACTATTTGACTTCTTTACATCAAAAGCACTTGTCTAAAAGCGAACAAGTGGTCAGAAGTATTCATTTGTCTGTAATATTTTTCAACGGTACAAGACAAGCACTAGAGGTCTGGTTATAAACAGAATTATGTACATTAGTCGCATTGGGTTCAGATAAAAACTGTAGGAGGAGTATTGGTCTGAAAGAACAATTTTAATTCTTCACTTGTTTTAAAGAGATTCACCTAGTATGTTTCTACCATTCTTGATAAGCGATCTTTTAGAGGATATAAACGAGTCTCTCATATGTAAAACGTAGATCATCTTTTGTAGACCAAACCTACTCCTGGGCATCTTGAGTTGAACTTAAAACTTGAATTTGCAATGAAGCTTACCCAAGTTTAACTTTTATGGCAAATTTTTTATTCATTCTCATCTCGTCTTGTTCTTCCATATTAACTCTGTACGTTCAATTTTCAGATGATGTGATAGAGAAATTACTGCAATTAGCCAAAGAATACCAGGTTAATTCAATTATCAGCAAATGTGAAACGTGGCTTCTTAAAGAGATGGATCTGAGAGAAGCCAGAGAAGAATCAATGATAGCTGAGGTCGAGTTTTTATTAAAATCATTCTATTACGGTAGTGAATACAACATGCCAAAAATACGAGTACGAACATTGAGACGTCTAAAGCCATTTAAATTGGCGTCATACAAAAGTGTGAAAACATATAGGGATCTACCAGAAAAGGATAAAATAGAACTACTTGAGTGTAGAATTGCTGAACTTGATTCCTTACATTCTTACACTCCTAGATTGGGAACCAATAGTCAGTGTAACATCCATTCTTCACATTTTCACTAAGTCCCCGTTCACACAGAGCTACAACTTTACGACAATCATCCCGAACAAGCCACGATCTGGAAAAGTTTTGGATTTGGGCTGATCTTAGCAGATCGGCGTCTAAATCGAGCAGTTTGGCAAATTATGGTCTTCATTACGATCATACTACGATGCCCTTACGTCAAACGCGCTGCTAACACGCTTCAACAACGAAGTTTCGCAGACCGTTGCCGACCAGCGACTGTGTTTACTGCGTTAGTATGATTTTGGCGATGATGCATATATATTTCCATTTCTATTTTTTTTTTCTCTGTGATATATCTCTAAAGTTTAGTTAAGGAGGCAAAATATGCATGTAAATCTCGAGCAGTTGACTTTGTGTTTGACGTCAGTGGGTGAGGTTTATTGAAAATGGCATTGGAGTCCTCGTGTTATTTTAATCTGTTGGTCTACATTTTAAAAGTCCAAATCTACAAATTAATTTCACAATGAATTGGAATTAGAAGGAATCACTGTCTAGTTAGTATAGTATGCCAAGGGCATCAACGATAGTGGGAAACATGGGATAATTTATGCCTTGTTTCCCACTATCGTTGATGACCTGGCATATTATACGAACTAGACAGTGATTCCTTGAATATCTTGCAACTTCAGATTTTTCCGGCCTTTACCGCGTGTTTTACGGGATATTTTTAATTGTAACTGTAGCAAGATGTGGAAAGTTTGAAGTCTCAACTGCAAATGATCGTCAAGTGCAGTGTCACCCTTTACATGTAGTTGACAGATGATCATTGGTCAAATATCAGCGTTAAAAAAGAAAAAAATGCTGCCTGATTGGTCGTGGTATAATCGGCGTAAGGTCATTTTAGGTTTTCGTAAGATCGTCAGGAATGTAGGGAGATCGTAGTAAGAACGTAGTGGGAGCGTTGAAAGAGCGTACTTGATAGTTCCTAAGCTTTAACTACGCATTTACTATGATCAAGAAGCTCTCTCCATGATTCTTCCGAGCTGCTTGTACGTTTACGGCGTTTCTACTACGCTCTTTTTTCGGCAATACTAGTACCCAGATTTTTTTGGACTAAGATCCTGCTATTGCAATCATACTGCGCTTATGATGAGTCCGCGATTTGTCACGATCGGGGTACGTTTTCAGCCACGTTTTGATCGTAGTAGAAGCGGCGTCTATTTGTGAAGGGTCGGTAACTCTTGGGTGTGATATCTGAGTATTATCATAATAAAAGTTATAACTTCCAGCTATATTGTGTCCATTTTAAAACTTTTAGGAATTTTCTCTATAAATTTAGATGTTTGCCTTGTCAAGAAATTTACAGAAAGTTAGGTTTCAGAAATATGTTTTTTTTCAACAGTTTCAGAAAAGAAAAATCAAAAGTACCAAAATAGACAATTTACAACTATAACCATGTTATTTCTATCAATTATTAGAAAAACTAAAAACTGTTAAGATGAAAGGACTTGAACAAAATTTCAAGGTAAAGTTCATTTGTTACAAATACTTTTGAATAGATGCGCGATCTTAGGGTACTCAACAGAAAATATTTCCATGAGAAAAAATATATTCTATGCGTTTATTTGATAGTTCAGCTTCTCTCTTGTAAAGATGGAGAAAGGTCATGGAATATTGTGCCTTTTAATATACATCCAAGAACTATGATCTTGCAAATAAATTTGATTCTGAAATTTTGAGAACGCGTTTAGAATGTTGTTTGAAATTTACATTTATCAGTTGAATTTAAACTGATAAGGAGAGCGTACATTAAAACTTTTTAAATTGATACCCTGATCCCTAACAACGTCTCACATATGTTTGTCCGTTATATAGATTTGACAATGCTTAAGATAATTTTTATGGATAGAGTTACAAATTAAGTTGGATCCAGACGATATCTACTTCAAGAGGATTCTTTTAAATCTGCTCAGCAGTATAACAATGAATTGAAATGCAATATTATCTCACCCAGACGAAGAGTACGGACAATAAACTCTACAAATCTGTGTACTTAGACAATATCAGCTATTGGTTAATAAGATTACCCAAGGTTAATCAAAGTAAAGGATTTCATGTTTACTAGTATTTGCGTTTTTGTGAAAAAATGGAAAAATTAGAAGAGGAATCCGGGTTACCTAAATCTGAAGCCAATGATTATTTTCTTGAAGAACCAGGAGTTACAGATGTTGCTCTTGCTGTAGAGGGAAGAAAGATGTATACCGTCAAGTCGGTTCTTGCTTTAGCTTCTCCTGTTTTCAAGTTCATGTTTACCTTGGATGTCAAAGACAAAAATAAAATAGAAATTAAATTACCTGGGAAGAAGTATGACAGTTTCAAAAATTTTCTGATGTGTTTATCCCCGAATGAATATTTTGATTTAAAAGGTATGTATTCCATTAAGGGAAATCAAGAGTAATTCGAATGTTCACTTTCGATGAATTCATGTCAGAATTTCTGGAGTCGAATGTTCAGAAGTTAAAAGATTGTTTGCTTTTCACTTTTCGCATAGCGCTTTGTATTCTGTGGTCGGTTGACTAATAACATTACCGTAAGTGTCAC